CATTTCCTTTTTCTCCTGACTCAAGCCTCATTAGTAGGAGCTCTACCCTGGCATGGTATGCCCATCATACCACAGAGCCCTGATAGTTCCAGTTCCAGCTCAGCTAAATTGCAGAGACAATCCCAGTGGGAGGGGGTGCTCATGATAAGGCCAAGAAGACCGGGGACAACCATGCCATTCTCCCGTAAGTGTCCCCCACACGGAGTTATGAAACAAGTGCCATTCTTAGGAACAGAGACCTCTCTCTGCCAGTAGGTCGTGCAATGACATAGACATAGATTTAACCCAGAAAGAGTGGTAACCCTTAAGAACAAAATGCTCCATCACCCTGTCTGAGGAAAATGACTTCTTGTGGGGTTAAGTATGAAGAATCCCATGCCATAAAGGTGTGTGTCAAGCAGAATGGTGATCTGGTTGTAATTCAAAAGACTCTCATAGATCCATGACACAAGTGGAGATAAACAAAATGTCAGAGCAGTCAGAATTCAAACAGAACAACCCCAAAGAGTTGTGAGATTGGAGTCATTCCTGCTGGTAGGGAAAGCTGGGTGCACGCCCTGGCATCACTCTGTGCATCACAAAGGAATTGAGTGATGAGGGAAACCAGATGTCTCACAAACACGAGGGGCATACGCATGAGCTCGCCAACCACTGATTGAATTAGAAGCTTTTACTACCTTGGAGCAATACCTAACCTTAAAAATAAAATTACATATGTCCTCTGCAATGTGGATGACTATGTACGTGTGCCTAATTGTGTCTTCTCAGGAATTAGCAGAGAGGTAAAATGAAAGCTATTAATCCCTGATTGAAAAACCAGAAGAGAACAAATTCAGCTGTGATAATGATCTCCAAGACACACACACACACACACACACACACACACACACACACACACACACACACACACACACACACACACTTGCAATGGGAAGGTGTAAAAATCTAACTGGCTGAAGGGAGTGAAGCACTACCTTTATTGGTAGGTAGCTTATGCTGTGCCAGAGGCAGCCTGGAGGGAATCAGACTAAACAACAGAAGGAATACTTGGGGCACCTGAGGCTGCACTAGGAGAAAATAGACTCTCACAGAATCAGTTCAGCCAACTCACGAAAAGGCATACGTCAAGCACAAAGTAAACTGTAGCCTGTGTACCCCACCATCTTCAACAGTTCTCTCACATCTCATAAATCCTGACTAGTTTATTGGTCAGTCCTGTGGCTAAAGGTTGTGACACAGGCTAACAACATAACAAAGACCATCGGAATTGAGTAGAGTCACTCTTACCCCATCATTTAACAAGAGAACCGAAAAGAGTGGTTCCCCAGAGGAACACTGGAGTGTTATTTTACTATGGGACATGGGACAATAGTAAGGAGAAAGACACCAAGGGTTCACGATGATCTCTTCTAGCCTCATCTTTGAGGAAGAATCTCAAGGAGATGGACAATTTATCTCTTAGCAGAGACAATTAAAAGATTTGTGAGATGTGAGAAAATAGTGGAAGATGTTGGTGAGTGGGAAAATGGTGTTTGTTATTGTTTTGTTTTGTTTTCCCTGACAGGCAGAGGACAACTCAATGAAGATAAAATGGAAAAAGCTGTATGATCTATGTGAGCTATGTGATCCAGGAAAGCAGAGACCCACCAGTTGTGAAAGCTGGTTATGACATCATTACTACACATTCTAGAACCCAGAGATGGAAAAACAAACAAACATTTGAGCCACTAAATAAAATTTTAACTGTGATTACATATTATTTATACATATGCATATATATCAAATTCTGTATATACATATTATATATATATGAATTTTTACTAATGAATAAATTCAATTTATGTTTGTAAACTCATTGAGTTTTTCTATTACTGATGACACAGTCAGAGAAATGTTGCTGAGCTGATAGAGCAATAAATACTTATTCATCCCAAAGCACAATTGTCTTTCTATACATAGTGGTTTTGACCATGAAGAAACCTCATCACTTACAAAAGGAGTGTGCATGTGTGTGTGTGTGTGTGTGTGTGTGTGTGTGTGTGTGTGTTTTCAGTTAGTGATGAGATTCTGTGTGATTGGGAAATACACAGAGGTGTAGACGTGGGTAGAGTGAGCCTTGTAACAAACAGAGAAGAGGACTTTGCTATTTAGATCACAGACAGAATTCCACACTGCAGACCAGCAATTTATTTGATGCCATACTTCACAGTTTTACCCTGTGAGTTTCTTGGATCTTACACAAGTCTACTTTGAAGATTTAAGCCATGACTCCCAAGAATGCCCTCTAACATCTTTAAAAGAACAAGAATCCTCAGTGTTGGCATGCTGCCCTCTTTGTTCTCACGGGGTCCTCCTTGGTAGGGGGTCAACAATGTGTGCTAAACACTATACATGGCAGATGCCTGCAATTCTTCTCAGTTTTCTACTAAGCCAAGATGAATTCCATTCAAAGGAGTAAAAAATAATACTTACATACTTGTAGTCCATAAGTTAAGCTATAGTTGTTGTTTTTGTTCTTTTTTTCTAATATTCCTGTCATACCTCTGTGGTGTTTCCTATCGCATTAATCCCTACCCACAAATCCTTTCCACCTTTACTTCCAACATGGGAAGACACTGGCTCACTCTCTCTTGTGTTTCTTCCTTTCAACACATCATGAAAAAAAGAGTTAGTGTCAGGTACTATTTTGTTTATTTTTTCTTCTTGTTCTTGTTTTGAAAGACCATATGTTTACGTGTAATTTTTCAAAGAATGTGCACTTTTATTATTTCAGATCTGACTATCTGATTCAGATTAGGGTCTTAGCGGGTACCTACACAGTTTGAATATAAAGTGTTGGAAACTGTTTACTTGATCTTATTGAAGGGTTCCGTTGGCCCACAGACTCACCAAATATGTCTTTTTCGTGATTGAATGACCTGGATTGCCTCTGTGTATATAAAATTTCCTCTTTTTTTCACTTGCTTAGTCTTTAATATGTAAAGTTACAAGTATGACTCTGATGATCCACTGAAAATATTCCCTGAAAGTTACCATTCATAAACATAGAATCTAGTCTCAAATCTTATTCTTCATGCATGTATAATTGCCCTTTAGAATAAAAAATACTTTCCTTTATTTCTCTTAATCTTTTTCACTAATTCAAAATCCTAGTTTTTTTTTAAATTTAAAACATTTTTTCTTACATGAGATGTTTGTTTTCTTCTTATATTCCAAATCACATTCACTATCATCTTTGCTACTCTGCCTCCTTTTAATTTTGCTGTTCATTATCCAGTTCCAAAACTGGACAGTCAATTCCAGGTGTAATTTCCAAATCTCTGCAGGACAGATCCAGCTATCAGGCCTATTAGAGGCAAATCCCAAATGTTCAACATCTGCTCAAGCCCTTGTAAGAACTGCTTGTATTAAGCTGCTCTTATCTAGTCTCTCCATTTCTTGCACACAGACAGGTGAATTCTTTAGAGCAGAGCTCTGTTCTTTCAAACCTTCACTCAAACTATCAGGTATAGTCTTTATATATATATGTATAGGTATATATATATATATAGAGAGAGAGAGAGAGAGAGGTATATATATAGTATATATATTATTGTAAAGATACAGTATAGAGGGGTTGCAGTTACATGATGAGTCCATTTCCGATCGAGCATTGTTAACCCTCTTTGTTTTTCCCCTACAGTCCCTTTCCTCACCTCCTCAACTCCTCCTTCCCCCCAACCTGGCCCCGCAAAGTTGTAAAATTCATTTTCAACATGATGTCTTGTACATCTCATTGTTACAATGGGTCAACCTGTATCCTTATTTCAGCATTTGGTTATTTCCCTTCCCCTCCTCAAATTAGAAAAATGTATAGACAAGATGCAGGACAACAGAATCAAATAAAGTGACAACAGGGATTATACCATAGGGGAAGAACATACAAAAAAAATCACATAGTACATTATAAATGCATTGAAAAGAACATCAAGAAAGATAAAATCTCTTGTGTCCCTATCTTGGGGTTCATTTCGCTTAGCATCAGGTTATATGGTCATACGTACATAGCTTTTGAACTCTTCTGCTTGTCCTAGACATATACTAGTTATTGCAGATAAGGGAAACCATGGGACTTGTTTCTTTGGGTCTGGCTTACTTCACCTAATATAATTTTTTCCAAGTCTTTCCATTTCCTAACAAATGAGGCAGTGTCATCCTAGGGTTCCTTGACACAGGCCGAAAATTTCGTAATAAAGATCCAGAAACACAACAAATCAAAGAAAGTTTTAACAAATGGGATTGCACGAAACTACAGAGCTTCTGCATGGTAAGCGACATAGCTAGCAAGATCAATAGAAAGCCCATGGATTGGGAGAAAAATCTTCACTAGCCATGCAATGGACAAGAATCTCATATCTAAAATATACTTAGAACTCAAAAAATTAAATCCAACAACAAATCCTCAAAGAAACAAACACCCGATTAATAAGTGGGCTGAAGACTTAAAGAGAGACTTCTTGCATCAGGTGTACTCTTAACAAAATTTCCTAACACAGTCTTTAAGAATCTCTACTTTTTCATCTTTACTGCATGCTACTACTCTGCCTGAAGAACGAGGATGTTTCAATATCCTGTAATTGTCTTCAAATTGAGTGTGTCTTTAAGCCCAAATTAATTTCCCTCCATCTCTAGCCTCCAAAGGTCAACTGTAATGCTACAGAATATCCACATCTTCAGAATCCCTCCTTTCCCTTCTTCCCTCTTTCCTCTGCCTTGTCACTGAAAATGCTCCTCCTCTTCTTGTCTTGTATTGAACATCACCTTGCATCGGCAACATTTGTGTAGTTGGTTTCTTGCCAAGAATGTCGTAAGTTCACATTACTGTCAATTTGTGCTACTTAATTTTCTATTTTCTGTCATGATCAGTGAAGCATTTGCTAATTCTATGCTAATTCGTGAGGGTATGGAGCAATTTTCAGTACTTTATAACTATATTTTCTTTCTTTCTTTTTTTTTTTTTCCTCTGTGCAACCCCCTTCAGTGCCAGTAGCCCACAGATCGAGGCCGGGCAATGGTTCGGGACCACAGTTTGCTCTGGCATGGGACACTATGAAAGGCTATAACTACATTTTCTTCAAAGATAATTTCCTATGTGGTAGAATTTTCTCTTTAAGGAGCTACTAATAATGTGACATTATGTAACATGAAACTGAATTCATAAAGAAAATAGAAAGTAGATACTCTCCCAATATCTCTTGTGAAGACACAGATGATTTTGCAGACTGCCTTGGTCACTAACAGCTATGGTCAGAACTCATAACCTCTGTAAGTCTGTTGTTTGTGTTGTTGTTTTTTTTTGAGAATAACGCTATTGATGTTATAAGAAATAAAAAACTAAGTCATAATTTGAGGGAGAGAACAATCTTCAGCTATATTTTATATTTTTTTAGGTTCTTCACTAAGCAATGAGTCCTAAGAGTTTAGCTTAAAACTTTCTACTTTGCTTCCTTCTCATCTAATCAAGAAAAGAAAGTTGTTCATACCACTGAAGGAAAGAATGGGTCAGTGTGAAAGGTAAGAGTCCTTAGGTTAGGAAAAAAAATAATAATGAAATGCTCATGTGCATGGACGTGCACTCATACCCTGATAGTCTCATATTCAACATGTGAATGTTGGCAAATGTGAAAATGGTTAACTTGTGTGGGGCTGGGAGAGATGGAGGGGCATGACAGAAGGCGGTAGCACGATGAAGATGCCTGGTTCGCATAAGTATCGACATGTTGCGTCGAAACTATTTACAGATAAAAATGTAGATGTTGATATTTTGAAGCCCTTTTCAAGTCAAGCGCAGTGATTTCAAATGTGGGAATGCTTCGTTAACTTGAAAACACAACTGAAATACAGTCACTCTAGATCTGCTTAAGAGTATAGATTAATCCACTTGAAAAATGTCTACGAACCAAGCCCATGTGAAGCTCAAGAGAAATGATGACTTGTTTCTGGCTGCTAGATCAGTCAGATTTGGAAAATTGCTGCTTTCATTTGGGTATGAAACAAACCACGGAGATTAGGTTACCGCCTTCCTACCATTCAGTGATCATGTGATGCAGCGGGCATGAGTCTATTTTGAGTCCATAAAGTATACTGACGGATGTAAAGTGTCTATGATTTTCATCTTAAATAGAAATCTGAGGCAATTTCAAATACGAAACCTAAAAAGAGGTCATTTAAAGCAGTGCTAGATACTCTTGAAGCTAAACTCTGAAAACTATTTATTTAGTGCAGCAACTTTAACTTAATCTGACATGAAATCATTGACTTTTTTTGCTCAGATCTAAGTGATAGTTTTAATCTCTTGCCTGATATCACTTTCTCTTAAGGGTAAATAAAAATTAAAGAATTATATGTACCTACTCTTGATAACTTATTAAATGTTAGTTCCCTTCATCAAATCCTCCATTATGGGGGGGTACAATTGATAAGATTGACATAAACTTTATTTGATGTTTATTGCAAAAATATTCTGGTGTGGTGGAGAAAAGAGCAATGTTTACATCTTCTTTAACAGTGAAAGAATCTGGACATATGGAAAAATCTCTTTTATAGCCAGCCTTTAGAATGAGACAAAGACACTATTGGATCAGAAGGATGTAAATGTAATGGAAAACCAATTTAACTCTGGGAAATACTTGGCAAATCTAAACATTTGTTTATAAAACTTCCAGGCAGAAGAAACTGTTTTATTTTTTTTTCTTGCACATTCAAATACATAACATTTCCTACTCTTACAAACAAGCTTCCTAACTTAGCACACACTTCCTTATACAAATTCAGTGCCTTTAAATATTATTTGTCTGGTTAATGACACTGCTTTTTCCACCTTGTTTTCCCACCAAAAAATGTATGTATGACATCCGGATACCATCAGGGAAATACAGTGAACTGAACTTCCCATGGTCTGTAGTATCCATTGTTTGAAACACAATAAGTTGGCAAGAGAGTAGATTAGTAATAAAACAAGAAACAAGTGGATACCTGGACTCATACAATGTGCCACATTCATTAATAATAAAACAAGAAACAAGCATACCTGGACAAATACAATGTGCTACATTCATTAATAATAAAACAAGAAACAAGCATACCTGGGCACATACAATGTGCTACATTCATTAAGTAGTTTCTAGGCAAGTTGTCCTGTCACACAAGCTTTATGTCTGCCAGAGACTAGCAGCTATACAATATTTCTTAATTTCCTTCATGAACAAGAGCCCAACAGTTTTCCTCTGAGAACTAATCATTGCTGTATAATTTTTTGAAGAGAAAAGAAACCAACTTCTTCCATGGAAAGACACAGTGAGGGGCTGGTGACATTCTGCTTTCATCTCTTATCAATATGACCAAAAATAATGCAGTTTCTTCTAGGAGGAATCCTAGAAAAGAACAGTTATGCATCCATAGGTAAAGCCGAGTAGCGTTAGACTCAATGTCAGGAAAACATCTTTAAAAATATTTTAATTAAAGAAAATTTGGGGTGTGATTTGGCTTTCCATCTTTATGATTGCTTGTCTCTTGTAAGACAAACCATCACCACCACAAGAGAACAAGAGCACAAATTCTCTTTACACTGTTAGTGTTAACAGGCGATATTTGCAGGATTTTTAGCAATAGATAATAAGCTGAGGAAATAGCAGTAACATTAAATCTTGATTCTAAGGAGAAAATAATTTATGTCTATTATATTTGAAGAAACCCGAATTAATAAGTTTAAGAGTATAAAGGTTACTGTACTACTTCTGGTTTTGAATAATATATGGCTAGAACTTTGGCATACTTAAAAATTTAAGAATTAAAACTTTATGCAAAAAGTTATGAAGTTCCATATAGCCAATGTGAAACAGAGCAGTAATTTAAAATCCAAAATTACATTCCAAAGAGCTCAATTTGGATCTTTCCCATCATGCATTGAATCTGCTTGCTAAAGATTTGACACTGAGGTGTATCTAAGACTTAACCAAAGTTACTTCTTTAATTTTACTTAACAGTAAAATTCTTGACTATTAATGGTGTTCAAACTACATGAAGAACAATATTAATAGTAATGCAGGTTAAATCATTTTCCCTTTGTAAAATGTTTTCAGTTTTGACTGTCCCAATATTGATACATTTTATTTCCCTTCTTTAAAACTAGAATAACAAAATTATAATCCCTTCATGAGCAAATAAGACATATTTTGTCAAATTGATCTCAGAATAAAATCAGTATGTTTTAATTCACATGCACAATTTAAATAATAAACTAAGCAGTTAACTGATTAGCAAAAATATACTAGTCATACTGAACTAAATTTAAATGGAAGTAAAATTTAATATGTGACCAATTAAGTGGTTATAAAATTAACTTGAAAAAGAGTGTACATGTAAAGTTAGAAGGAAGAATTTCTTTAAGCAAAATTGAAGAGTTTGAGTTTACAACTAGACTCACTTTTACTATTGGACAGTCAATGACTTTTCATTTTCAAAAATTAATTTCCACTCACAGAACGAGATGTTTCAGTTTATGTAAAATTATTTTGCATAACAATATGGAACAGAAATAGTATAAACTTCATACTAATCTGAAAGGATTCCTACTGCAGAACTGTAATTTGTTTCCTAGTCAATTTCCTCTCTGTATCATGGACAACATGAGTCACTATTGTTTCTCCATACTATATCCTTTCTTTTTAAATCAGAAGCCTTTTCTGTATAAATTTCATTGATCTCACTCTATGCCTTTCTTCTTTCCTTTTTATTCTAGCTTGAATTACCTCAACAATTTTGAGTCTTTGGGTCATCTTGAATATTGACTGAAGACCATGTGGGAATGACTTTCCCTTTGTGGAATGTGGTAAACATAAGTGGTTTGAAGGTAACATAATATGAATGTATGGTAGTGCTTGGTAATCAGGGAATTAAAAAAATGAGGTAGTGTTAGGCAAATGGATGCTGGACTCACAATGCTTAGCATGAGCTCTTAATTCTTAGCACTTTTTGGTTTATTGTCATCAATTGAACTTTTTGAGCTTTTATTTTCTTTTCTGGTAACAAAGGGCAATGTGAATACATTGCTGAAATAACATTTATGGATGAGATGATTTAAGTCTTTGCAGAAAATAGGCATCAGAAAGAAAAGCTAAAGCCGAAAAATACATCACTTTGCCAGAGGTTGTGAATCACATTTTAAAACAAGGTGGAAATATTTTTTTCTTTTTTTTATTGTGAAAATACTATACAGAGGGGTTACAATTACATGGGCAAGATAATGAGTACATTTCAAGGTAGAAATATTTTTAAGCAATTTAATTTATATGCATGGCAAGTGGGGAAAGAAGAAATCTGTGTTTGATCCATAATTGATGTAGTATTCTTATATATATATATATATATATATATATATATATATATATATATATATATTTGCATGCATGCATAAAGGGAGAAATGGTCAATCAATTTCTTAATGCATTGATATCCAAGTCAGAAAAAAAATAATGAACACATTTAGTGAAAATGAACAAATAACATAGGTAGTTGAGTTAGGAGCTGTATTTTTTATAATGTTTATTAAAGCATAAGTAAAAATGCATTTGTAAGAATATCTTTGTAGCAAAGTTAGAAATATTCTGTCTCAAAATTCATGGGCAAAGGAAAGATGTAAGTGCAGCTGTTTTTTATGCCTTTCTTATGCATTTTATTTATTTATTTTTTGTGGGTCATGGGGCTTGATCTCTGGGCCTGGGCGCTATCCCTCAGCTCCTCAGCTCAAGGTGAGCACTCTACCACCTGAGCCACAGTGCCACTTCCAGTTTTCTGAGTGGTTTACTGGAGATAAGAGCCTCACAGACTTTCTGCCTGGGCTAGCTTTGAACCACGATCCTCAGATCTTAGCCTCCTGAATAGCTAAGATTACAGGCGTGAGTCACCAGCGCCTGGCTTCTTATGCCTTTTTAAACATGCCTGTTTTTGATGCTTTTCTTATCCCTAGCATTCCAAAAATAACTTTGCCACATACCAAACAGTCACTATTTTTAAGTCATTATCTTCCTTGTTAACAAAAATTAAATTAAACAGATAATTTTTCTCTATATAAAAATAAAAATTATGCCAGACAT